ATCGAGGAACGATGGGAAAACAAACCTTTACATAGATAGTACCCAACCCGCACACAAAACGCTGATGTTGATAAATTAAACACCCATCAGTGGTTACGCGGAGCTGGGCTTAAAGCTGATAATAATAATAATAATAATAATAATAATAATAATAATAATTAACAATAACAATAACAATAATAATAATAATAATAATAATATTTTTTAAACGAATTATACAAATGTGGGTTTTGCAGTTCCTATTTGGTTTGATCTCAATTTAATTGCCTGAACTAGTAAACCATGCACAAAATGTTATACAACACGTAAATGTATACAACACGTGCAATTTTTTCTCTTGAGATTTAGACGCCCTCTACAAGTTGATTGGTTTCATTTTTCCACAGACCTTACTGCCTACTTTTAACTCGTGTATGAAGAACTGAGATAAAGACCCCTTTTTTAGATTGTTTTCTAATCGTGCCCGAAACAAATTTGGTCGGTTAGGCACCTTTTAAGATCTAATGACTGCTTGCTATCTTAGTTGGGATCTAGGTTGTTGTAATAAATACTGCTTTTGCATTATTTGTCACACACTCGTTACTTCTATAATATTATTGGCAACCATACTCACGTAAACTAATGCACTTTAGAGCACAGAGAAACTGCCATTGTGCGAGTTACGCCGCCTGGGCATTCGTGGCGAAACAAATAAAAACAAAAGTTAACAATTTAGATTACTCGAGGGCGCTATTAACGAGGGATTTTTCAAAATGGCGTTTGCAAGACTGGCCGAAGACAAACATGTGGTCATCCTTGCCTACTTCTTTGTGGTTTTTAGGTAGGTAACTCGGGGAAATTAAATTTAGCTTGCTATAGTTTTTTGCTCGATTGGTGTATTCACTAAGTGGTTAATAAACTTCCCGTAAGTGTGTACCGGTTGTCTCAGTGCCGAGTTAACAAAACAATGACACCGTGTAATTGTGTCCACACATGGCATTTAGAAATACACAGAAAGTATTACGGCACATGGTTTCACGGGAACTAAGCAGAGATTTTGAACTACAGGCATCGTAATTCCACGGCATAAAGTCAGACGCCTTCAAATTAACGGCGGCGATGGAAAAGCTGGGAACAAAGGTCTCTGGTGCAGGGAGAAATATATAGCTTTAGTTGAGTGTATGAATCTGTTGTTAGAGTGAGCATGGATGTACATCCATGGAGTGAGTGATATTTACATTCGGTCTCCTGCTGGTACATCCAAACACCGTCATAAATCCTGCAAAATGCAGTGGATGCACAGCCAATTAATGCATACTGTTTTGGACCAAACACAAAATAATCAAGAACCGAACCTAAATTTTGTGTAATAATCTTAATTACAGGGAATTCTAGTTAGGTCATTTTCCCAAAACAACGAAAGTTATAGATTTGTGTCCATCGTTCGCATGTCCAGAAGAAACTGCACCAACATGATTAGTATTTTCTAATAGTTTCATTATTTGAAGTCATAATTCCAAACTTCTTATCAACTGTCAAACTGTAACGTTATTGTTTCAATCTGTGAATATTTGTTGAATATGTTTAATTTGTAAAAATGAAGGATGCAGACTTGTAATAAGCCAATGAGATTATAGATTACCCAGTCAGTTTACCTGAATTCAGCGTGCGTTCAGGAAAAATAACAAATAATGAAAAATTAAATACTGTAAAATGACTAATTTTCACTGGGTTTAAATTTCACTGATTTACCATTTCAGGCATATTCGGTGGGTTTAAAATTCACGGTTTCGTCATTTAGATATTGTGTTCTATGCTACATTTTACATATTCACTGGGTTTTAATTTAGCGCATTTTCCAGTCAGCGAAATAAGCTAAATTAAAACCCAGTGAATAATTACCCCCTTTACAGTATTACCTTGTGTGCTTTTGAATTTCTTTGGATGCAAATCTATAACTTTCACTTCAATGGCCCTATAGCAGGATTCATGGCATACACATGGTATGGAGTCATTTGCATGAAGTAAGAATACACACAATTTATAATTTTAACACACATCATTTTACTTGTGTCTGATGATGTCAGCCTGAAAGAAAATATGGAATTGTATATATTAATTACTGCGTTACTTGGTTATTATTAATTTATATTGGTACATGCATTAAAAATATTTTTTTTTAGTCTTATCTCTTCTAGTTTTTCTTCCACACTAAATGTACCTAAAGTGTTATTACCATATTATCATGGAGAGAGGCCGATTAATTTCACTTTAGAAGCAACAGATGGCTGTTATTCATGGTAAGATATATATTTAATGATATAATATATAGAGCTTAATTCACTGGGTTTTTTTTCCACTTATATCGCTGATACATGTACCGACATATGCTAAAATAAAACCCAGTTAAATAGTATCCAAAACTATCAATTTGGTAAATATCCCTGCATCATCAAATCTGATAAAATTTAAATCCAGTGAATATTTTTTCTCTACAGTACACAGATAGAAACTACCTGTGTGAATGAATATCATGAAAATAAATACATAGGAACATAATGGGTCCTTGATGTATAACATCACACATGATATCTCTGATATCACACATGATATCTCTGACATCACACATCATATTTCTGACATCATACATATCTCTGACTCACACATCACATCTCTGACATCACACATATCTCTGACATCACACATCATATCTCTGACATCACACATCATATCTCTGACATCATACATCATATCTCTGACATCACACATCATATCTCTGACATCACACATCATATCTCTGACATCACACATATCTCTGACATCACACATCATATCTCTGACAACACACATCATATCTCTGACATCACGCATCATATCTCCGACATCACACATATCTCTGACATCACACATCATATCTCCGACATCACACATATCTCCGACATCACACATCATATCTCTGACATCACACATCATATCTCTGACATGGCTGACTGAAATCAATGAATGTTGTTTTTGGAACCACATTGATAATGTTCAAACTTTAAACATACATCATGTAACACATTTGCACATGCATCTGTTTCAAAATCTGATTCAAGATGCCATATGAATGTCATGGGTGGAATAATGGAAGGAATCACATAAATAAACTGGCTCCACTTCACATCATTTCTGTCACATGATTGTAAATAACTATTTGTAACTAAATTTGACAGTCAATAAAAAAAAAACTGGGAGAGAACATGTCATTGACAATGACTTGTTATCATTGTGATTGATGGTACATTTCATCTCTGATTTAATTGGGTTCATAGTACTAGTTTAGTTTTTGAAATGATTGTTCTAGAAATGATTTAAGAACTACACAACCAAATTCAGCAGCTTTGAATGACATAATTATTTTGATGTGTTTGAAGCATTTTGTCATTGGAGTCACTTATATAGGAAAGGCCTTTTCAGATGGAGTCCATACATTTTTTTTAAACAGGAGAAGTGCTAGACCAGAAATAGCATCTGTACAAGCTGTACCAACAGAATCTGGGAAATATTGCTCCAATATAGCCACAGTGACTGCACTATCCAGCCATCCTACTAGATTAAACACTATTGTATTTGCTGAAGAACAAGGTAACTTTATTTAATTGTTAATTGGCAAATGTTGAATGTTAGTATGGCATATACCGGTAATGCATGAGTTTATTTTGTTTTTATTTATCTACATTGTTCCTTCCTCAATGTTTTTTTCAATGATATATTTGTTATTTTTAAAATTGCTACCAATCATAATCCTCTCACATTACTTCCATTCATATGCATTAACAAGTACAGAATGTTTCCATGTCCATTAACATTATTTAACATAGCCCTGACTGTCTAAGTGTTAACAACTGGTATTTATAGATTCACCTCTGTGTATCTGTTTAACTGTCTGCACTTGTTATTTTAAATATGCCATTCAGGGCATTGAGAGATCATTCTCAAATTTCACAGATACATCATTCATGCATACATTTGTGCATACACTGTACATGTGTACATCTATTTGTTTTACAATCTAATTTACAAATGTAGTTCTTGGATCTATATCTCTGACATGTCTGGATCAAATATCACATTACAATTTGTTACAAATGTAGTTCTTGGATCTATATCTCTGACATAGTTGGAGCAAATATCACATTACAATTTGTTACAAATGTAGTTCTTGGATCTATATCTCTGACATGGTTGGAGCAAATATCCTATTACAATTTGTTACAAATGTAGTTCTTGGATCTATATCTCTGACATGGTTGGAGCAAATATCCTATTACAATTTGTTACAAATGTAGTTCTTGGATCTATATCTCTGACATGTCTGGAGCAAATATCACATTACAATTTGTTACAAATTTGCACATGCATTGGTTTCACAACCAATTCAAAATGGCCGAATGGTGGCCATATTAATGCAAACATTGCATCAAAATAAAGCATTTCGTCCATTGTGCAACCAGATGGATGGATTTTGTTCAGAATTGGCACATACTTTGAACATAATGGGACTTTTGTGTGTTTGTTTTACAGATTTGATTCAAAATGGATGACTGAAAGCCATTTTCTTTTCATAAATTTCCTGGATTTCAGGCATTCATAGATGTATTTTGTTCAAATTTGGTACAAATCAAAAAGATTTGCCTAAGTCCTTAATTTGTGAATTGTTTTGAGTCAGTTTTTGCATCTCATGGAACATACACTCTAAATTAATATTATATTGAAAACGATGTGTCATGTCAATATTTATTTATTCATTGAAATTAATTAAACAATGATTAATTATCCAGGTACAGGCCATATTCTACGATGTGATGTCATTGTTGATGTCATCAATTCTATTGACATAGTTACCACAACACGTGTCTTGTATTTGGATAACTCTCCTGAACAGTTTGAAGTTAGAGCATTGGATGATGAAGGTTGGTGTTTTCTACCAAACTTATTTGCAAAATATCAAAATAGAAACCCTATTTAGTGAACTATGCATATTGTGTTCAATTTGTTAGTTTCTCAGTCATGTCATTTAACACAGGGGTCATCTTTGCTGACAGGTAATACTTTTAGCAGTCTTGAAGGGTTGCAGTTTGAGTGGTCTCTCATTTCTGACACTGAGGGCGACAGAGTCATTGATGCCAATACTATACTCAGGTAAGAGAATGTGTTGCACACAATATGAATGAAAGGTACTAAATATGAATGCTACACAATGTCTGCCATGTCCAAGTCCAAAACTTAGTTTATTGCTAAAATCTTTTCAAATTACCTGTGGTTTCTATCTAATTTATGAATTTGAAGAAAACAAACACATTAGAAAGTCACTAAATAGATATTTGATGTGCAGACAATAACAAATTATGCTAATGTTACTTACAGTAATATTTTTATAATTCAGTAAACAACAAGTACGATATTTCGTTTATATGTACATTGTATCAGAGATGTACTTTGAATAGAGCAGGTATAATAAAAAGGTATAAATGTAAACTAAAATCATGAAATTTATTTTTTTATTTGAGTGAAAGCTGTTTTGTTTACATATAATTTATCTTCATTTGTGTATGCCATCATTTTGTGGTAATATTACGTAACAGAGATGAAAATAAATAAACAAAAAAACATTGCATGTACATGTATAGTTTTCTGGACTTTTTCTTTGAGGGACAATCCAAATGGCTATGACCTCATTACCGTAAAATTTGTATTAGAAGCCGCATTCCTTATAAAAGCCACACCCATTCTTATTGAATAATTGAGAACCAAAAATTCACTGTTTCTCATGCGTGTAGATGCTCTAATAAAAGCCGCATCACCTCTGTTGCATTGTACCATTTTAATAGAAGCTGCGGCTTCTAATACAGATTTTACAGTAGACAGACAGTACAGGCAATTATTACATAAGTTACCAAGTTACAATATAGTATAATAATTTATTCATAAAATGTTACACAATGCTCACAATTAATCTCAAAAGGGTATATCAAGTCAATGCATACATCATCGAAGGTCTGAATTTTGTTTTTTACTTTACAGGATAAATAGTATTAATGTTGTTAATAAACTCTTTCTTTCAAGTCAATTTTGTTGAAAATAGTTTTCTTGCACTCTTGCACAAGTATTAATACATATTGCATGTAAATCATAAATAACATTCTTGTGTCAATTTTATAGAATTTTACCTTTTGAGCCAACACCATACACACCAGCACCATATATTGCAGACATGGAAAAGCGAGGTCAGCAAGGTGATGTTATCCTAGTGGAAGGCATCAAAACAGGTACTGCTAAAGTTAGTACCAAATTAAAAGCATTTGGATTTCGGGTAAGAGACATTTACTGTGTAGTTTGTGACACTGTTACATTCATCAATATTAGATTTGTTTAGAGAAACAAAAGATCCTCTAACTGAACTTGTTAATTTAATGAAACAACCTTTAAAGTAAAGCTAAGATTTTAATCCCCTTTCCACAATAGAACATCTGTACCATTACTAGTCTGAATATAAATTTCACAGCATTTTCTTTTGTATATAAATTCACAGTGTTTTTGACACAGTTTATATAAAATGACAACCAACACTTTCTCACAGTATATTTAAATAAAGACACACTTATTTATTATTGAACATAAATTTTCTTGTTAGAGTTTTGAGATGAGCTGCCGCTTGGCTGTTGATCAGAATCATATTCATTTGACGTGTGCAGAACCTAATTGAAAGGTTATAACTAGTGGTAACTTCTTATAAATTGTAATTTTGACAGGAAGTGAAGCCCAGTATTGTAAGACTTATTGTTATTGATAACCTGATGTTAAATCCATCTCATGATGTCTATCTACTTGTACATGCACAAATACAATATGGAGTGGAAAAATTACGTCAAGGGAAACTGACACGTAAGTGTTGATGGACATTCTCTCCCCCAGTATCAGTGTTATTACGTCAAGGGAAACTGACACGTAAGTGTTGATGGACATTCTCTCCCCCAGTATCAGTGTTATTACGTCAAGGGAAACTGACACGTAAGTGTTGATGGACATTCTCTTCCCCAGTATCAGTGTTATTACGTCAAGGGAAACTGACACGTAAGTGTTGATGGACATTCTCTCCCCCAGTATCAGTGTTATTACGTCAAGGGAAACTGACACGTAAGTGTTGATGGACATTCTCTCCCCCAGTATCAGTGTTATTACGTCAAGGGAAACTGACACGTAAGTGTTGATGGACATTCTCTCCCCCAGTATCAGTGTTATTACGTCAAGGGAAACTGACACGTAAGTGTTGATGGACATTCTCTTCCCCAGTATCAGTGTTATTACGTCAAGGGAAACTGACACGTAAGTGTTGATGGACATTCTCTCCCCCAGTATCAGTGTTATTACGTCAAGGGAAACTGACACGTAAGTGTTGATGGACATTCTCTCCCCAGTATCAGTGTTATTACGTCAAGGGAAACTGACACGTAAGTGTTGATGGACATTCTCTCCCCCAGTATCAGTGTTTCTGAGCAGTGCCCTCAAGCTTCTACTTCTCAGATTCTGTTTGTTTGTTTTTTGTTCAAACTATGAACTTTATCCGTTATAGCTAAAAATTTGATAAAATATGACAATTATATTTATAATAAATACTGTGTTTCGTCAAAATAGCTGTGCGTTTACCTTCCCCACAATATTGGCTGGAAGTAAAGGATAACAATATAGCTACATTAAATGCCAAGACATCAATTGTAACTGGGACCAAGCATGGACATACAGATATTATTCTGAAAGATATGAGTATCCTTTATAAAACAGGTCAAAGGTCACTGTATGTGCTATCAGTGTGTTTTCAGAGGTGTTTTATTGATTATCAATATTGATTGTCATATTTATGCATAAATTATCTTGTGATTAAGTGTTTGCTGACTGGTATGCGTACACTGCATTGTGGTAGTCTGAATGTTTACTTCAGCTCAAATGAAAGTCTTTTTCTGCGAGTTTTATTGTATGACAAATTCCTCCATGACAGTATCATAATGGCATTTATATACCCATAGCACCCAATGAAAATGTGATCCTCTATCATAAAATGATCGTTTCTAACGTGCGCATTGCAATTGTAGTGATATAATTTGGGAGTTGAAAACTGGTTGAAATTAACGTGACTCATAGGAGACATCTGTATCAAGGAGTATTGCTGGCATTTAGGACCTCAAGTTTACTCTGCAGTTGCCTTTGTGTTCTTTTGTCTAAGTGGTGCATGGTTCTCAGAAAAGCTATTCAATGCACTTTTTATATAACAGTTTTATCTTGTTTATTCATATTGCTGACTTGGCATTGACTGCAGTGCATTGTAGTGTGTGAACAGTGTGGTTTGACTGACCATCACTCAGTGTTGTCAGTTCATTGGATGAATAAATTGGAGCACGCAATCATTCACTTTGATGTCTTTAGTGATTCTTTAACGCCACTCCAGATGTGAGAGAAGAATTGAGTCAGCCAACTGCAGGCATTCATGTTGTGGAACCTGGATATTTAGGTAACAGTCAATATTCAGCTCAATTTTGTACCTTGTCCGGGGATGAAGGTCACACAAGTATATGTCAAGTATTAGTGCAGTTACTGCAATTGTATTTTTTTATTTTTATTATTTAGAACTTTTATACAATTCATATTACATTAAGCAAAAGCACACTGTAATAATAATAATCAGCTTTTCTGCTTTCAGGAGATGTGCTTCTTTCATAATTGTGCATCCATCTATCATGTGACCTTATGTGACACACAAAATGTTTGTTTTTTTCAATTTTAAAGTCAATTTTCTGGTTTGCTTTGAATAGGGTTTGTTGTACTACCTAGTAGAAATTGGGTTCTTGAGACTGGAAGAAAATATGAAATTATCATAGAAGTGTACGATAAAGACAGTCACAAAATTCACCATTCACAGGTAAATAACTAACATTGACTTTCTAACAATCTTAATATTAATATCTGCACAAATTTTGAATGCATATCACATGAACCATTTATTTATTAATTTCATAATCTGATTCAAGATGGACGACTAGCTGTAGTGTTCATTGCATTAAAATTAAGCATTTTCATCACATTGAAATTTGAGCTCATCCATGCATAAATGGATGGATTTTGTTCAGACTTTTTGTACTTAAAGTGGGAGTCATCACTTGCACTTGCGACAACGGCCATAGCGTGTAATTGTTTACAAACAAGCATATACGCATGAGCCTTTGCATTTTTAGCGTGCATTGTTATCGTTGTTTAGAACTCAATTTCCACCATGCGCAAATGACAACCCATTCGCTTTAACTGATTCTTGTGAACCAATCACAGTTGCATTGTACTGTGTACATATTTTTTTGCATGCATTGCATTGAATATCTGCAGTATCATAATTCAGATTTTACTAATTTTGTTATATTTCAGAATATACAAATCAAAGTCGAGTTTGCAAAAGAGTATTTTGAAGTGTTGTATTCATCAAACAATGGATCCTATCATATTGTTGAAACTTTGTTACAAGGTGTTACAGAGATAGATGCAGCCTTAGTATCTGTACTCAAACCAGTAAGTATAGTGATACTTATTACTTAGATAGGGGGCTCTGTATATTAGATTATGAGGTCATTACAAGAATACTGCAAAGTATGCACGAGGCAGTACAGTGATCGCATCGCCCATAGTGTAGCAGAGGTGTTACCGTACTGCCTGAGTGCATACTTTGCGGTATTCTCATGATAACATATTATTATAAATCTTTTTCCTAGTAATGTGACATGAATGGCAATAAAGAACGTTTCACGCCGTGTGAGCATTTGTCATTAGCGAGAGGATTTTATTCCTATCATGCACTGATAGTGCTTCTACATCTGAAGTAAAAAAAAAATAAGTGAGTTAAATGTCTAATGTAAATCAAATTCCAGATAAGGAACACTTTTAAATGCGTCCATTCGATGATTTACAGATGGGTAAATTCTATTATGTATAATATTATATAATTTTTCATACACTGAAAGATTATTCTACTGCAATATATTAGCATTAATAAAAAACGAGGACCACCAACCTCATTTTTCAGGAAATTGTATTTTAATATTAAGAAATTGATACATTACCCTTTTAAATGTAATTTTTTGGTATCTCAGGGTTTTAGTGGCGTTTCTAGAGTACAGCATTTTTTATAAATAAAAATAATGGGTTACCAACCTAAAGCGGTTTTAATACATGTAGTTCACACCACACTAATGTATGTGTGACCATACTAATGTATGTGTGACCACACTAATGTATGTGTGACCATACTAATGTATGTGTGACCATACTAATGTATGTGTGACCATACTAATGTATGTGTGACCATACTCAAACAGTAAAACAATTTGTAAGCTTTTGTACAGATTCATGAGGGAAATAAACAAAAAATATAAAATATTTTTGAGTATTAAAAACCAAGTTTTTCCAAATCGCCATTATGCTCACACTTGTACATTTTTGTGAGATTTGTGTGCACATTGCAAAAGTGAAATTGTATTAAACATTTACAAGGAAAGTATTAGTTAGTGTTCAAAAACCCTTCCAATTCAAATCTTGGTGTTTACCTCCAAATCTTGTTTTATTTCAGGATGGTGTCATTGAGAAGTTACCAATACCTGTTGCTGATAAGCAAGAAGTAGAAATATTCAACCCAATTGTTGTCTCACCACAAACAGTTGCATTTCCATGGCAACCAGGCAAAGAGTCTGCATATCAATATACATTACAAGTAAGTTCCACCATCATTGTTAAATATTTGGTTTCTATGGCTACATGTACTTGATTTTTGTCTGTCAATTCAATATCAAAGTGTCTGTGAAAAACAATGCATGTACAAGTACCATGTGTCAGTTTAAGTTAGTTGCAAATAAAAAAACACAAAATTGTCATGTATCATGAAAAAAATTACCTTCCATATAGGCATGGATATTTGAATAAACTGGCAGCTGAAGTAATAAGACCTAAATATCTGCACTTTTGCCATGTATTTCTGTGTAGTATTATATATAATTCCATGGTATTTTTATGAGGTAGTAGTAAGCACCAAATACAAATATGTTTTTGTACATGCATTGTATGCTAATTTCGTGGTTGTCACTGAGTTGTATTTCATGCAGACACCTTGCATGTGCTGTGTTATGATTTTGCTTGTTTGTGATTTTTGCTAGGATTTGTTTTCAACCTATTTTTCAAGGGACTAAATAGTAATTCCAAAAATACAGCCATAAGCTTGCCAAAATTAACTTGAAATAGAAATTGTTTGCCAAAGTTATGTAAGGAAACTAGAAAATATTGTAACAAATAATCAAATCCAGTCCAACAAAAAAAAAATTAGATCTCTGTTGATGTGCAAGTCGATCAGCTCCACAGATTGCAAAGATCATTTGAAAAAAATAAATAAGGGAATGTGCCTGCTGTTGGTGGAACAATATCTTGCTTAAAAAAATCACATCGCTGCATTATTTAAAAAAAAAATTTCTACCAGAAACAGATATATAATTTTAATTGTTAAAATTTGTTCTTATTACTTGCAGGCCACTGGAGGTAGTGGCAATTACAGCTGGTCTTCATCTAATAAGGAGATATGCAGTGTGAATGTACATGGCACTGTCAGTACAACTCAGGGTGTGGGTGAAACCATAATCACAGCATCAGATATCAGAAATGTCGCTCACTTTGGAACTGCTAAGGTATATGATTAAATACTTTATTAAAATATCAACTGTAAGTCAAATATGAATATGAACACCACATTTTACTATGAGCAGTGATCCAAGCTAAGAACACATGTACTATTATCCGCCACATCTCAAAACACATGTATTGTCTGTGTATTAACATGTATCCTCTGTATATTAACATGTAACATCTGTGTATTAAAATGTATCATCTGTATATTAACATGTATCGTCTGTATATTAACATGTATCGTCTGTATATTAACATGTATCGTCTATGTATTAACATGTATCGTCTGTATATTAACATTTATCGTCTGTATATTAACATGTATCCTCTGTATATTAACATGTATCCTCTGTATATTAACATGTATCCTCTGTATATTATCAAGATGTAATATACTCATTGCCTGCAATGTCACTATACTGTATTTCACAGGTATATGTACTTCCACCAGATGATGTACAGTTTTTACCAGCTAAGGTGGAAGCTGAGATTGGTACTACGCTAGATTTACCATTGACAGTGAGTACAACTATCAAGGCTACAGGACATAAACTACTATTTACAGATTGTAGACATATTGCTTTCCAGATTCATATTGTGGATGGCTCTGTATTCAAACAAGTATCAGTAATCATACTCTCATCATTGCTGTAATTAGGGTTTCTCAATGTAGTTACACAAAAGTCTTTGAATTTTTTTTATATCTTGCAATCGCTCGCTTCTTGCAATACAAGTTATATGAGAAACAAAAATTGCGGGTACTTGTCTAATCTTTGTGATTTTTATTAAAACTGAAGA